TGACCTTAGAACTGAAGAAGCTTCTCGGTTGAGAGGTGAAACGTCTTCAAGTAACTTAAAGAAGTCCAGACGCTTTTCTTTGCAAGCTCCTTTGAGTACATGTTATTGTTAATATTGAATGAATGTAAATACTTGTAATTGCTTTCCTAACAGTGTAAATTAACTGAATCACTAGAAAACAGCACATTAGAATCCCACAAAACTTCAAATGCTTTTTGATTTCTGTGTCTTCTAGTCGAAGCTGGATCTGCTAAAGCAGGAGGAGCTCAAACTGGTGGCGGAGATCAAGGAAACGAATGCTGCTATTAAGGGTGAAGAGGCCAACAAGAAGCACCTGATGCAACAGGCCGACGTACGTTAACCTGACGGGACACACCCCCCTCTGCAGCCCGACACGCCGTGACCTCACCCCGTTAACCTGTATCTGCTGATTTCAGGTGTTCACCTCTGTACCAGAGAGGGACGTGGTCTTCAAGGGAGCGACTGGAAATGCAAACAACAAGCAAGAGTTTGAGATGAAGCCACATATCGTTTACCCGATGGATGGCGGGACGGCGCTGATTACCTTCGAGGAGGAAGTCGGTGAGTATTTGCCAGCACTGGCGTTGTTTAGTTTTATCTGCGTTTGTTAAAGGAAGCAGGTGATTATATCTTATTTTTAACAGAAACATTAAAACGTGTGCATAAAGTATTAAAATGCTAATTTCCATATTTTTATTCATGCACTGTACCGCAGGAGCTTTGCGTGATTTGCTGTTCAAAATAATCTTTATTTTTCTTACTTTGGGGCTTGGTGCAGGACTTCTAAATTAAACAAGCTGCTTTAGCTCCTCCCCCTTTAACCTTCTGTAGGTGGCTTAAACAGCAGGTAGATGGATCGCACTCACAGGTGGAGCTGCATATCTGAGGTATTAGGAATATCTGCTCATTCTGGGATCAAACACAACCAAGAAGAGAAAAAAACGATTGCTCAGAGCAGTCCATACACTGACCTTATTATTTGGTAAACATAGGCATAAATTATTGTAGTAGTATAAATATAATAGAAGGACCGTATTTTTATTTTATTAGTCATATGACTAAGAATTTTAGGTCAATCATAGGAAATAAAAACAAAGTTTGTGGCCTAAAACATTCAAAGTATAATGCTGTTCTTTGGATCTTAACTAGCGCAGTGAAACAAAATAACATATCTGAAGAGGTTTTGGCTTAACGATAGCAATCAGAATATTCATAATATGTAATATTGGAAGACTGTGAATTGAATTTAGTTTTATCTTTCTGCAAAAAAGGGAATTTCTTATTTAAGACAAAGTCAGGTCAAATAAATTCTGATTTCACAAAATAAAAACAAGTAAATAATAAATAGATGAATGGATAAGGGGAAGAAGATGGACAGATGACTAATAAGTAAATGCCGCTTTAAAAGACATACGTTTTCGTGCCACATTCAACAGAAATGTATCTACCTTCAGCTGCAGGGCAAAACTGAGCCACTAGGGGGCCTAATGTCGCTTTGCACATCCAGCTTTCATACAGCTACTGAGCTGCAAGCAGGAAGATGCTTCTTGCATCTTATTTGGCTTTAAACTGGAGCCAAATAAAATTATTAGTTCTTTATTATTAGATTATTAGGGCTCCAAAATGAAAGAAATAATCTGCAAGATGAATCTTCAG